ATCTATCTATCTATCTATCTATCTATCTATCATCTCTTGTTTATCTCATATCTATCTCTTTCGCTCCCTTTCTCCCCCCTCCCTTCTCTCTCTCCCTGTAGGCCATATCAACGTACAGGTTCAAACCCATATTATCATCTCCTAATCATTGACTCCATTCCTGTCTCTTTTGATCTTCAGGGTTTCTGAGATCCATCAGGCCTTATTTACCCCTTTTCAAGCCCAAGGATGAGATCCTTGGCTTTTAAAAACAATTCCTGAGATATTTAGGAAGCCAACTCCTGCCCTTGCAAAACCCACGGAACAGGAATGGCTTTTATGTAAAAGTAAAGCTAAATTTTGAAAAGCAGAAGTCTCAAAAAAAGTAAATTAAACCTTTATTGTCAATACACAATGTGTGTACAATGAAATTGAATGAGACTCCCTTGGTGCAGTATTTCCCCCCCCGCCGCCCCCCCAAAAACCCCACAGAATACATCTCGGTAGGAAATCTTGCTAGCTTAGAACAAAACGAGGGAGCTAGAACTTCCTTTAAAGCGAAGATGGTCTCCCCCACCCAGGCTGGTTGCTCTTTTCCGATTTCCTGAAGAAGTCCGTCTTTTTCCGTAGGACAACACGAGCCGCTGAAGGGCCCACCTACAGTGGGGTGTGTAAATGCTTCTGCCGATCCAAGGGCCACGGCTTCATCACACCTGCTGACGGAGGCCCAGAGATCTTCGTCCATATTTCTGAGTAAGCAAACCTCCTTTTGGAAACTGGGCGCTAGTCCTCTTGCTTTCTGGCTGTTGCAGAATTCAAAATGCAAGTAGCTTTCAAGATGAAAGGTAAAGAAAGAGCTGTGGATTTTTACTCAATCGTTGCCAACTACAGGGAACGGTGCTCATCTCCATTTCAAAGCCATGGAAACAGCGCTGTCCAGAGACATTTCCGCCGTCAGACCAATGGTGGGTTCCGGATCCCGTCGTAACCAGTACGCTGCGACGGGGCTGGGCGTCCTCCTTGGTCGCGCATGCTGTGCATGCTTGCACACACCACCGCCCTGCAATGCCCCAGCTGTTTGGCAGAGGTCGCGCAGGAACAATTGGCCCGTTTCACTCAAAGAGTGGTAAGGAAGTGGGCAGACAGGTGGCCCAATGAGTCACCATTCCGGCATGGTGTCCCCTGCTCCCAGCTACCACCAGTACACCCATACCAGGCCGTACCTCCTGGAACCCACCACTGGGTCAAACATTTCCGCAGCATGATGTTACAGAGCTCTGTTATCTTCCCACCAAAATGGTGCCTACAGGTAGTCCTCGACATAGAACTAATTCATTTAGTGACCATTCAAAGTTACAGCATCGCTGAAAAAAGTGACGTAAAACCCCTTTTCATACTTACAACCCCACGGTGTTGTGAACAAAATTTGGATGCTTCATGACAGTTTGCAGTGTCCAGGGGTCACGTGATTCCCCTTTTGCGACATCCTGACCAGCAAAGTCCATAGGGGAAGCCAGATTCACTTAACAACTGCGTTGCTAAATTAACAGCTGCAGCAATTTATTTAATAACTGTGGCAAGAAAGGTAGTAAAATGGGGCAAAATTCACTTAAGGACTGTCTCAGCAACAACAGCAAATTTGTGCTCCGTTGTGGTCGTAAGTCGAGGACTACCTGTATTTATCTGCTCACATTGGCATTCTTTTGAACTGCTAAGTGAAGCAGGAGTGCGGATGGGAAGTCATCCCATTTTGTGGAGCCTTGAACCTGGGCTACCAGCTTTTCTCCAACCCTAACTTTTCAACTTAGGACCATTTCTTTAGCTCAAAGTTATGATGATGATTTAAAAAGTGAGCTACAGCTGCTCCTCACTCATACAACCCTTGAAGCATCTCGTGGTCACATGGCGGCCATTTGTGACTTCCCAGGGGGCTTCCAACAAGTGGGAGTCAATGGTGGGAGACAGATTCACTTAACAACAATGGCCCAAAAAGCTTGTAAAATCGGGTGTGACTCATTTAATCACCATATTACTGAATAATATCGAAGTTTTGGTCCCAATTGTGGTCATACGTCCAGGAAACATACCTGTATTTTTCAGACTATAAGACGCACCGGAGTCTTAACCAAAATTTTGAAGAGGTAATTTAAAAAAAAAAAAAAAGTTTTTGCACTCTGCAGGCCTCCCAAACCCTCTGCATGCCTCTTTTTTTTTTTTTGCAAACAATAGGGCATGCAGAGAGTTTGAGAGGCCTGCAAAGGGCTCCTGGGAGCTGGGGGGGGAGCAAAAACGGGCAAATAACGGGCAATTTTTCACTCGTTTTTGTCCTCCCTAGCCCCCAGGAGCACCTAGCAGGCCTCCCAAAGCGTATGCATGTCCAATTTTTGCAAAAGGGGCAGGGTTTCAGCAAGCCAAAAATGCTGCATTCAGTGTATAAGACGCACCCAGATTTTCAGCCTCCTTTTTTGGGGGGGGAAAGATGCATCTTATACACTAGTTGGAAATGAGCAACGATACCTGAGGGGCAGGCTGGTGGGCTTCAAACTCAGTATGTTGTCATTTCATTGATGATATCTGAGCTGGTTGGAAACAATCAGGATTCAGTGCAGAGGTCAGCCAAGGGAAAGCTAGGAAGGAAAATAAACTGCCCTTCTCTAAACCTATCATCTGCCCCACAGAAGGAATACAACAGATCGTTTGGGTTCTCCCATCCTGCAAAACCAGATGGAAGGGAAGAAACAGAAACATTCAAAATAATAAGCAGGTTCAGAACAGATCGTCTGCAGAACGAAAAAAGGGCCCTGGTGCTTTGTAATTTAGATGAAAATCACGAGGGAGACAAAGATAAATAAATTCATGCACACAGTATGACACGTGGACAGAAATGGGTTCTCTCTTCTAATGTTAGTACAACTGGCTCGGCCACTGGAAATAATATTTGGGGGGCCATAAAAGGGTTTTTTTCTTTACAAGGGTCTCAGTCAAGAGAGGAATGTGTGGTCAGCAAGTGACGGACACCAAATTAGATGGTTTTTAAAAAGGTCAAGAAATGGGTACGAAGAAAGCTTGGCAGCTGTTCCCTGTTAGCATGCAGGGGGCTTTAAGTGCCAGGTATGTTTTGCCAAGGGCAGCGATCGAGTGCCCAGCCAATTACTGTATTTTTCGGACTATAAGACACTCTCTCTCCCCCCCCCCCCAAACAAAAAGTGGGTGGAAATGTCTGTGCACCTTATAGAGCAAATGTTGCCAAAGCCCGCCTACCCTTTCCCATCCTTCGGCCTCTGCCTCCCAGCAATTTGCCTCCTTGCAGCAAACAGCAAACAGCCCGGTCACCTTCAGCACAGCCTGATTTAACACGAGCAGCTGATTGGCAGTTGGATCAGTCCACGCACCCCATTTCTGGACTCTGCACACTCCATTTTCAGCCTCCACACATATCCCATTTTTGGCCCATTCCAGGCGACAGGGATAAGTTGCAGCAGGGATCGGGCCAAAAACAGGACACACAGAGGCCAAAAATGGGGCACAGCTGATTGGTGATATTCCAAGAGGCAGATCCAACCTCCAATCAGCTGCTCATGTCCGAAGGTCTTTAGTTCCTCGTAGGATCCATGCTCCAGAGCTTGTCGGGTGTGAGTCCCTGTTGATAAAGTTGGACCTTGGGGGTCAAGTGGGCTTGTTAACGTACCTACCTCCAAACAGCGTTGCAACAGCCCTCCCCTCGCTCCTCGAGTCAGTAGCCGAGCTGGCAGTAGAGTTCCCCAGGCTTATGGTGCTGGGGGATTTCAGAGCCAAGGTGGCGCAGTGGTTAAAATGCAGCACTGCAGGCTACTGCTAGATCAGCAGGTCAGCGGTTCAAATCCCA